TTATTTTGTAAAAAACCTTTGAAATTAAAATATGACATTAGACCTGTTTGCCATCTGGCCGTTCCAAGTTACCCCGTTATAAGGTAAAAAGGTCTAGATAAAATTTTTTGAAAAACATCAAAAAGCACATTTCTACAATGATGAAGTAGTTGGCACTTTTACTGAACGTAGTCAGATAATTGTTTATTTGAAATGTGTCATTTGTTGTTATATAATTGGTTTGATTTCCATAATAAAACTTATATTTGCTCAAAGTCTAATTTGACCTTTGTGACTCGCCCTGCTCTACATATATACTTTTTATTGAATTAATTTGATTCATCGATTCTTACTTGAAACTTTTCAAAAAGCAGGTCAAAGAAGAAATACTTAATTTATTTTCTATTTCTTCTCGCAGAAATTTGAAATTTTTTATAAGGTCAGTAGTATTATTAAGAATTATACATAAAATCCAGAATCCAAAAAAAATCTGAAAAACTTGAAATGTAATTAATAAGTAGAAAGACCAAAAAAGACTTGGATTGGATTATGCCATATTTTCTATTGAAAGTGCATAAAACTTCCAGTTTGATTGTATTGACAGATTATAGACGAACTAATGGGATTTATTGTTTTTATAATACCTCATTGTATATAGCATTCAAACAACACATCTTTATACACTTAAAGTATTAATATTTTTGATTCTCTAGAAATTGTTTAGAATATACCTTACTAAGCAAAACAACGTTTGCCGGGTCGGCTAGTAATATATATATATATATATATATATATATATATATATATATATATACATATATACATACAAATACGTATATATATATATATATATATAAACATACACATATGTAAACTCGTACATATGTAAAGCAAACAAAATATTTATGAAGATGGATAATATTATACATATAAAATACAAGTGGACTTACATTACGTTGGTTGGTTACATCTAGAGAAGTGTATACAACACTAGATATTGGCACTAACATTTATACAACTAACTTGTCAACACCATGCATTTTTTATAATTTTTTGTATGATGTAAACAGAAAAATGATAGTTTTATTTGAACAAAAATGTAAGTAGAATTATGTAATTTCTGCCACGACTTCTGTACTTTGCGAGTACCGAGGCATGTATGAACGCCAACACGTGTTTTGAAAGATTTTTAAGGGTCATTCAAGGATTGTTATGAGTGGGTAGGTAGAAAATGGTCGAAGTTGAAACTAGTAATGTTAGGCTAGGTTTGTATGGTTAGAATTAGGAGAAAATGTTATTTAGTATTACTAGGTAGTTATACTAATAACTCAAATATCTAAAATAAAAATTTTTTAATTTAAAATTTGCTATGCATGGGTAGGTAAAGCTCGGGTTTCAAGGTCGAAGTTAAACTAGGAAATGTTGGCAAGGTTAGTATGGTCAGAATTAGTTTTGTTCAGAGGAGATAAATTTGGAAACATTATTTAGTATTACTTGGTAGTTATCGCAGAGTAAGGAGGTACCAGAACTCTTGTTTACCGCGTGATCACATACTGATATGAAACAAGATTCTGCAAAACGTCTCTGAATGGTGTTCCGTTCATGGTAGAGAATACTGGCATTATAAAAGTTAAAGGAGTGTTTGAAATTTTTTGTGTTCTGTTATCATAGTTTGGTTTTGGTTGGGGGTTTTCGAATTATTGTCGTGTTGTTTGAGTCTTTTTATTAAATTTTGTCCGGTTTCACCTATGTAAGTAGAAGGGCAATCATTGCAATTTATTTTGTAGACAATGTTGGACGTACGTTCTATACTAGTGGGAGATTTCAGGTTTGTGTAGAGGGATTTAAGATTTAGATCTATGTTGCAAGTTAGTCTGATGTCTACCTTATGAAAAAGTTTTTTCCACACTGGAAAAAGTTCTTTTACGTAAGGTAAACAAACGTTGCCTATATAGTTATTGTCTTTAGAATTTTTTTCTGGGGAAAAAGAAGAATGCATACTGTTGAGGGTTTTAAGTCTGTTAGAGGTGACGGAGTTGATGAGGTGCGGTGGATATGAGTTGTTAATCAAAATTTAATAAAAAGACTCAAACAACACGACAATAATTCGAAAAACCCCAACGAAAGATTCTAAAACTGTATTGAATTACTTTTCATGAAATTAATGATTACTTTGTAACTGTCATGTAAGAGATGAGAGGAATTATGTTTGTTTACACAAGACGTACTAAGGGATATAAGTAAAGACTCAACTATCTTTCTAAGGTCACAGTTTTTTCAATGTAAAGGATTGAGGGATTTGACATGTTAAAAATGTGGTTCAGGTTTATCATATGTTCAGAAAGCATCGTTTTGATAGTTTACGATAATTTACTCCGTTTATATATTTATATTTATCATCAACTTTGTATTTATGTTATATGTTTTTTTAGATTACTGAATGATGACACACATCAAGTGTCGAAACGTTTAATGGAATAAATAATTTTGTTATTTAATCCTTCTTTTTTTAATTCGACGGTTGGGCTGCAAAAATATTACAAATATGTATCAACGTCGACAAAACTATCATATATATATATATATATATATATATATATATATATATATATATATATGTCATCATTCAGCAACTACAACAATTTGAAAATTTTATTTACTAATATAATACCAATATAGATTAATTATAACATAGAGAAACATTATACAGACCACAGGACAAAAACACTCAAAAAATTTATTTTAAAAAAATTAAACTTATAACATATTAGAAAAAAACATTTTTTTTGGAAAAAATTATGAATAACTAAAAGATTTGAAAACTAATTTGACTAAAAGTTTTGAAATCTAACATTATGACGCATGAAACACGCCCATACCGAGCAAAAGACTCGACTGTAATCTTTCACTAGGCATGTTGATAGGAATGGAAGGGGAATGTATCGAAGGACAAATGCAACGGAGTGGTTGAAATGGACTTTAATCAAAAGGAAAATGCAAAACATGTAAAAGTTCGAACAAGAAAAAAAGCAAAATTGTAAAAAATAATATAAAGGAGATAGCAAATTAATTTTTTGTTTTTTTTTTAAATAAAATCAATAGTTAGCTGGTAGCTATCATATAAAAGGTGGGATGAATTGCGTTTATTAACACAAGAGGAATTTAATGAAATAAAAAAGGATTCAGCAAATTTTCTAAGGTCACTATTTTTGTCGATATAAAGAATAACAGGATGTGAAGTGTTAAAAGTGTGATTGAGATTGAGCATATGATCTGAAAACATCGTTTTGAACTGGTTTGGATTTTTTGAATTATAAATATGTTGATTAACTCTCTTATATATATACTGAGAACTTTCCCCAATATAACACATATTGCAATCATTGCAATCCAACCTGTAAACAGAATCGGTGACCCTATCAGACGGGGTTCCAGACTTAAGAACCGAAAAAGGCAATTAAAAGTATTATCAAAGCTAAAAACTAAACGGAATCCTTCTGAAGAAAATAACTTTTTTAAAAAAAACGAAAAATTGCTTAAAAAAGGTAAACAAATAGTTCCTTTGTATTGGGAGGAAGAAGAAGCTATTGAATTTGAACAAGAAGGTGAAAATGAATTATTAAAATTAGTTTGTAAATAATAGGAAGTGAAGTGTTAAAAGTGTGATTGAGATTGAGCATATGATCTGAAAACATCGTTTTGAACTGGTTTGGATTTTTTGAATTATAAATATGTTGATTAACTCTCTTATAAATATACTGGGAACTTTTCCCAATATAACACATATTGCAATCATTGCAATCCAACCTGTAAACAGAATCGGTGACCCTATCAGACGGGGTTCCAGACTTAAGAACCGAAAAAAGGCAATTAAAAGTATTATCAAAACTAAAAACTAAACGGAATCCTTCTGAAGAAAATAACTTTTTTAAAAAATACGAAAAATTGCTTAAAAAAGGTAAACAAATAGTTCCTTTGTATTGGGAGGAAGAAGAAGCTATTGAATTTGAACAAGAAGGTGAAAATGAATTATTAAAATTAGTTTGTAAATAATAGGAAGTGAAGTGTTAAAAGTGTGATTGAGATTGAGCATATGATCTGAAAACATCGTTTTGAACTGGTTTGGATTTTTTGAATTATAAATATGTTGATTAACTCTCTTATAAATATACTGGGAACTTTTCCCAATATAACACATATTGCAATCATTGCAATCCAACCTGTAAACAGAATCGGTGACCCTATCAGACGGGGTTCCAGACTTAAGAACCGAAAAAAGGCAATTAAAAGTATTATCAAAACTAAAAACTAAACGGAATCCTTCTGAAGAAAATAACTTTTTTAAAAAATACGAAAAATTGCTTGAAAAAGGTAAACAAATAGTTCCTTTGTATTTGGAGGAAGAAGAAGCTATTGATTTTGAACAAGAAGGTGAAAATGAATTATTTAAATTAGTTTGTAAATAATTTAATTATTAAATTATTTACAAACTAATTTTAATACTAAAAACATATGTTTTTTGTAAAATAATAAAATAATAAAATACACGCTTCATTCAGATATGGTGGTGTTTTGGAAATGGTCAAGGATTATTTTATAGTCATTGCAAAGCGAATTGTTGTCCAATCTATTATTTATGGCCCTGTCGTTGTGTAAAGATATTAGGCATCCTTCGCTAAACCTTCTTTTAAATAAATTATTTTCGAAATGTAGGATCGTGGGATTGGAATTTGGTATTTTTGTATAATTAATTTCTGTAAGTATTTATATATAAGTTCTATAGCTTTATATTATTATATTTTCCTCCTACATCATATAAAATCTATTAGTTTTTCCAATGAATGACGGTCTCGATGAAGACCGAAACGTATGGATAAATAAAGTATTTCAAAACTACTTTAGTTTTTTTTTTTACTTGGTGTTACTGCCCGATTCTAAATAACTCATCAAAATATATATATATTTATATATATATATATATATATATATATTATACACAGATATTATTATAGCTGGCTAACCTGTTTTTCACGTAATACTTTTTCCCGTTCAAACCTATTTTTCCGCCATTCGGTTTGATCTTCATCTTCACTAACTTGTTCATCAGTTTTTTGGTCCTCAGTTTTTTCATCTAGGCTAAAACCTTCACCTGCAAATAAGTACAAAATGTTTATAATATTCATACTAAAGTTATTATTAGAACTTGAAACCATGAATCTCACCTGCGTTTTTCCACCTGAACTTTCTTTCTCTAGTAGCATCTCCATGATTCTCACCATCTTCTAACAACATTTCTTGCAAAATTCGTACATCCCGTTTATCCTCGTCCAAAACTTGACGCCTAATGTCAAATATTTAATAAAAGTAAACACAATTTATCAAAAAAATAAATAAACTAGTGGTGTATGGGGTATGGCGTCGTGTCTTAAGGCAAATTGCTGGAACTTCCCGTACCGTAACGAAATGATCAAGAAATATTTAATATTTTCAAATACATTATTATAAATAAATACTGTAACATTGTCTAATATTTATAAGAACTATATAAACTGAATTGCTAAGTTAAAATTATTTATTTATAGTATATAAGTGAGCTTTAGAACTTTAGCAAGAATTAAAATTAAAATCTAAATTATGTTTAATATACAAATTTTTTTTCCAAAAGCAATTGTTTCATCAACACAAGTAGAAAGTTTCTTGAATCATTCAAATCGGATGCTTAGTTTTCTCAAAAACTGATTTTTTTTTACATTTAGCTTCATATCTTTGAAACGCCTGGACCTGCCTTTGCCAAAATCTAATCACCACTTTTCTCCACATCATTACGAATTCTCAAAATCTCGAATTTTATTTTCTGCACTCTTTGCTCTGTATGATCGTAAAGGCTGGACCTGCCTTTTCCAAAAACTAATCAGGACATCTCCCTTTCAATAGGATCGAATGTTTTTTGAACCATTCAAATCGGATGACACGTGCGCCCAAAAATGTGAATGAAAAAATGCGGACCTACAAAACACACACACACACACACATCCATTTTTTCCGAGGAATGCCAAAATATTCAAAAACCTCTGAGACGTGAAGATATGCAACAATTTTCATTTTTTATTTTTGGCCCATTACTATAACTACCCTACGGGAAGTTAATAAATATTATTATTGCATAAATTTTAAAACACAAATTGAAAAAATTAAACAATTAATTTTCAACTTTTAACTTTTAACATAAGAAGTTTATGTTTTCATTAAAAAATCCGATTCGCTAATTAACTTCCCAAAGAAGTTTACGTTTTCATAAAAAAAATCCGATTCGCATTTTATGTTTTCTCGACGTTTCAAGCCATTCTGAATCGAATGAGACCAAATTTGGAAAATGTATGTGTGTGTGTCGTCTGGACCGATTTCAATAAATTAAAAGCCATTTGATGAATCTCGATAAGGACTATTGTTTATCAGTTTTGTGCGACGATCGGCCAAGCCATTTCTTTATAAATAGCAGAAAAGTAAAATTTTTTTCGTCCACGTTTTAGCCCGCAATTCTGAATCGATTTTGAAAATTCAGAGAACTGTTCAAAAGATATTGATTGGGAATCGTGCTGATTAGTTTTTGGTAGAGATCGGCCGGGACCTTTTCTTGTAATGAAGTGTTAATTTTTTTTCCACGATTTTTATTATTATTTTTTTGACGGTAGATACAATAGTCTTAAAGATCATACTAAAATATTACGGCCCTACGACAACTCGTTTAACTTTAATAATTCGTCAAAGTTTTCAAAAATTAGTATCGTTTTTTAAGCACTTGTCAAAATTAGACCTTTCATCGACGTTTGCTCAAAAACGCCTGAACCGATTTCAGAAATTTAAAAACTATTTGATGTATCTCGATGAGGATTATCGTTTGTCAGTTTTGTGCGACGATCTGCCAAGCCGTTTCTTGGCAATTTGGAAAAAAGTGTTAAACTTTTCGTCCACATTTAAGCTCATACTACCGAGTCGATTTTCAAAAATCAAAAACTGTTATGAAACTTTTTTTGGCGATATATATCGTCGTCTTATAGAACTTACTAAAATATTACGGCCTTACGACAAGTAGTTTCAATTTAAAAAATCATCAAATTTGGATAAAATGAGTAGTTTTTTGACGTTTGTTAAAATTAAAATTAGACGATTTACTTGGTATAACGAAAGAGTACTTGGTCTTAATGAACATACTAAACCATTAAAGTTCTACAAAAACTGGTTCAATTATAAAAATTGTTGATTCTTTTAACTTCCCATAGGGTAAGTTATTGTAATCGATCAAAAATCGAAATTAGAAATTTTTACATTTCTTCCCGTTTTGAAGGTTTCTGAACATTTGGCATACCTCAGAAAAAATGAATGTGTGTGTGTGTGTATGTAATGTATGTATGGATACAATTTTTCGTCCACGTTTGAATCAACCGATTTGAATGTTAAAAAAACATTCGATTTCTATTGACAGGGAGATGTGCTGATTAGTTTTTGGCAAAGACAGGTCCAGCCGTTTTGGAGATACGGAGCAAAGAATGCAGAAAATAGATATCGAGGTTTTGAGAGTTTTTCCGAGTTTCGGATTTGAATCATCCAAAAAACATTCAGTTCGTAATGACGAGGAGAGGTGGTGATTAGTTTTTGGCAAAGGCAGGTCAAGCGATTTCGGAGATACAGAGCTAAATGTGCAAAAAATAACAGTTTTTGAGAGAACTAAGCGTCCGGTTTGAATGATTCATAGAACTTTCTGCTTGTTTTAACAAAATAATTGCTTTTGAAAAAAAAAATTGTTTCAATTTTTTTCTCAAAAATTGTTTTTTTTTTGTATATCAAAAATAATTCAGATTTTAATTGTAATTCTAACTTAAGTTCTAATATACTTTAAACAAATATTTTCCACATTGTAATTCAGTTTACATAACTCCTATAAATATTAGACAATGTTACAGTATTTATTTATAATAATCTATTTGAAAACATTTAATATGCCTTGAACATTTCGTTTCGGTACAGGAAGTTCCAACAATTTGCCTTAAGGCACGATTCCATACACACCACTAGTTAAAATTTGCTCTTAGAAAATACTCCGAGTTAACGTGTTCGTGCGTTTTCAATTATGTGTAACAAATCCACTCGCAATACTTTTAATGAACCATAAATTTATTTTTTATTGACTATGTCGATTATTTACATATATCGGGAAGTTCATGTAACTTACTTCTAGGCAAAATACCAATACCAACTAGTTTTTTCTGGAATTAAATTGATAATCATCAATAATTTTTAATTTTAATATGGTTAATCTGCTAAATCAATTTACATCGTAATGACAAAAAAGCAAAGAATTCATTTTAAAAAAAAAAATCCGGCAGATATTTATCAAAATCATGAAGTTCCAATTTGGAACAAATATTCATAGAACAGTGGCCCATTTTACATTTGGAATAAAATATATAATTTATTTTCGAACAATTTAATAATTAAAAATAAACAATTTAATTGATCTTAAAATAGTTTTAGTTTAATTTGAATTAAAATAGTTTTTTTAATCTAAATTTGGACTCAAATAATGACTAATAATGAAACTCACATATGTATCCTTTCCAATTCTCCTCGAACTTTTATGGTATCAATATGATCTTCATCACCCAATTCTTTATCATAAATATCAAGACCCCTTTCATCTTCATCCGCTGAACCCCATTCTGAATCTGATAGTTCAGCTTCATTTTCAAAAAATTCACGTTCAACATATTTTTGTTGTTTTTTCTTGTCTGCTATTATCTCAACCTTGATTATAATTTAAAACACAACTAATTATAAATTTTAATATATTTTCTTTAGTATATTGTTAAGTGCATAAATAATTATTAATAAAATTCAACTACCAAAAAATAGAAAATATTTTTTTTTAGTTATTAATATTTTATACTAATTTCAATAAAATAACACAAACACAAAGAAAATAATTATAGTTTATACATGGCCTAACTTATCAAAATTGTATTTCAAAGTATAAATATATTATATTATTTTAATATTATTTACTATATAAAGTGATTATTCTATTTGTTTCAATTATTAAGTCTACTATATTAAATCGAACAACTCACTTCATTTTCTTCTGAATCATATTCATAGATTTTTTCTGCCTCTTCTTGCATCACGTCTTCAATTTCTTCATCCTCAAAATCATTTTCTTCATCATTTTCTTCATCACTTTCTTCATCATCTAATAAAAACAATTCATTGACAAAAGTTTTTTTTTTTTATCTAAATAAGTATTAAGTCTATATGGTACCTGAAAATTGTAACGGCTTAGTTGTTATTTTCTTTTTTTTTCTTTTAAGTTTCTTCTCACCGATCACTTCATTATTTTCAACAGTATTCAGAACATCTGATATAGAATTCTCATCAGATAAACAAAGCTTTATGTTACTTTGTGGTTCCTCGGTATCATTATTTTCATTTTGTTTACTCTACAATATATTATTTAACTACAGATATTTGTTCACGGTTCAATCCATTAGACTTATTTCATATTTTATTATAATCAAAAAATAGTATTTTTATAAGATCTAATACAGTGAGAAATGCAACTCTCAATGCATTATAATTTCTTATTTTATTTTTCATATGGCTATAATTTTATCCAAATATTTGTGCAATAAACTTTAATAGTTGGGAATAACTGTTTGTTTAACTCTCGATAGAGTTAAAATCGGATCTAAGTATTTACATTAGAATTAGAAATGTATTTAATTCTATTTCCATAAATCAATTCTTAGATTCTATTTTTAAAGATCAGGTAAATTTATTTCTATCTGTAAGCAAGTAAAGCTTTCAAATATAATTCACTAAAAATATAATTGTGATAAGCAGATAATTCATAAATAATATTGATATTATTACTATACAAATACTGTAATTAGTTAAGTCAAGTTAAATGTGCTTACAGAAACTTGAGTAGGAAATTGTCCAGAACACAGCTCGAGTAACTCATCTTCAGCACATTTTAGACTAGCAAGTTCATTTTGGGTTGAGAGAAAAGGATTATTATGCTGCGTACTTTCAGTAGATTCTAAAAATAATCTTTTTACTGCTGAAGAATTTTGTGCCTGATTATCTGCTGATGCGATTGAACATTGGGTGTCGCTAATAATCTGTAAAACATTACAGTTTGTACAAACAGATTTTTGCAATTGAATTCACCATATATTTATAAATTAAAATTAATATATAATAAATATTGTAATATCCCAAAAAATAAATTACAAAATTCATTTAAAATAAATTTAAAATATATGTTGCACTTAAGGTAGTTAAAACGAAATACACAGTATTTGATTAAGTAATAAATTATCAAAATATATATAGCCATTTTACCTGTGGAATTGGTGTCATTTGAGTATTTTCTGTTAACCAAGTTGGAGATGATAATTTCAACTCGGAATCTTTAGAACTATTATGGCATTTATATTGAGGAGTGGTTTGTGGCTCTGCAAGCTTTGTCTGATGTAGAGGAATTATTTCATCCTCTGAAATAGTATAATTAAAACGATTATATTAATTTATAGAACTATTTGTATGTTATAATATATAATAAATAAACATTAATTTGTATCTTTCAGATATAGATAATTCTTAAAAAAAACATATGAAAACGTTATTTCTAACCATATATCTATAATGACATAACACTTTTTATTGTTGAAATTAAAGCAACTAAATAGTTGTAAATAAAATTTTGCCTTAAGGCAAGTTGGACAAACTTCCTGATAAGAATACATAATCAACTTAATCAATATAAAATAAGATTCAGCTATTCAGATAAAATATTCAACTATTTATTGCAAAAAAAAAAACATTTTCGCTTTACTAAAAAAATGATCAATATACGAATTCCAATTGATATCTTTCAACCATTCTTTATAATATCTGTAATTATAAAAACTAAATTAACTTTTTAAGAATATTTCATTTCATCTATTTCGTGTTCTAAAAATGTATTATATTTAAGAGTAGGATACAACTATAATCAGTAGCTACCTACATAGATTCTGATTAGAATCAAGCCACGGCGAAATTCTAATTTTCATAATTTGACGGCTTATCGTAAGCCTATAATATTTTAGAATGATATTTTAAGCTACAAAATCTAACTTTATACAGAGTTTCATGAGAATCGACAAAAATTGTTCTACGTTTGATTACGAAAGCACGGCCCTATCGATCTTTTATCCAAGCGACTCCCAATCAATGTGTTTTGAATGCTTGCATTTTTAAAAACGATTAAAAATTCTGAATTAAAATGTGGGCGAAAATTTTTACACACTCCTTCTAACTACAAGGAATTGGCTCAGCCAACACTGATGAACGCTATCAATTTTTTATCGAGTTACATCGAATGGCTTTTAAATTTTTCAAATCACTTCAGCAGTTTTCGAGAAAACGTCTATGAAAGATCAAGAATTGGCTTTCATACACACACACATACTTTTTCCAAATTTGGTCTCATTTGATTCAGAATGACTTAAAACGCTATGAAAACATAAAATTAGCAAATCGTATTTTTTTCGGAAACAAACTTCTCCTTCGGGAAGCAAATAAATGTATATTGCGCGTTGCTTAAGAAATTTAATAATAATGAAAGGCCAAACTTTAAATAATAATATTAATTAAACTGCTACTATAAACAGTACTAGTAAGTAAAAAAAATGGTTGTACTTCTCATATTTACCGTTTTGTGTTTGGAACAAATCTATGCTCTCCCTTTTCTTTGAATCTTCTTCCACCTCATTTTCAACTTCTGAATCTGAACTATTCATAACCTGTATTCTTTTCCGAATTTTCTTTGAAGTGTCATCATTTTTATTCATACAGTTTTCATTATTTTCACTTTCACTATCACTAGAATTTTCACTTTCACTATTTTCATCGTCAGCTTCTGATACATGTGCATCTTCATCATATTCAAGTTCTTCCTCATTTTGTTCTTTACCACTAGTTTCAATTTTCTCTTCCTCTTCCTCTTCCTGGCTTTCTGCAACATCTGCTAGATCCTCTACTAGTATCTCCTATATATCCACAATGAAAAATCCACAGTATACAATAAGTTGAATACAATAATTAAATTTGAATTTTAAAAATTCTATTATTCATTTATAAAATGAGATGGCAGCAAAAATGTGCAAATATACAAACTTTTCAGAATTATGGAAGAAATAAATAACATTAAGGTGACCATTTTTTTAATTAAAAAAAAACGGAACGGCAATTTTTTGTTATTCTAAGTAACTTAAATATGACTTTAAAATAATCAATACTATTTAAGAATACTATAAACAGATTTTTTTTTAAATCAATTTTTTTCAGCATTGCGAACTTTTTGTAGGAACTTTATTTGATTATATGATATACTATTTTTACCTATGGTGCTATTGGGTGTTATATTAAATCTTATTTTTCGATCCATATGATTTTTTTTGCTTTTAAGCGTTGTTTAAAATTCGATTCAATTGTCTTCGTAATTGTCTTGAAAAAAAATAGCACTTGTTCGTTAGTTTTTAACTTCCCGAAGAAAAAGTTTGTTTTTGCGAAAAGATCCGATTTGCTAATTTTAAGTTGTCTCGACGTTTCAAGTCATTCTGAATCGAATGAGACCAAATTTGGAAAAAGTATGTGTGTGTGTATGTGAGCCCATTTTTAACCTTTCGCCGACGTTTACTTAAAAACAGCTGAATCGACCATTCTATGTAACTCGAAGAGGACTTACGTTGATTAATTTTGTGTGATGATAAACCAAGCCGTTTCTTTGTAAAGTGTAAAAATTTTCGTCCATATTTTAGCGTACAATGTTAAACCGATTTTAGAAACTCAAAAACTATTCGAAAGATATTGATTGGGAATTGCGTTGATTAATTTTTGGTACGGATTGAACGGGCAGCTTCTTCGTAATTAAACGTCGATTTTTTTTTTTGTCAATTTCGTTCGAACTTTGTATGGCGATAGATATCGTAGTCTGAAATAACATACTAAAATATTATTGGCCTACGATGATCGGTTGAATTATAAAAAACATAAAAGTTTCAAACTGCGCCGCGCGTTTAATATAATTTAATCAGAATCTATGTGGAAGCATATGCAAAAATTTAGACCAAGTATCACTATACTTAGTTCGGTAATACCATGAACTCATAACATGTTCAATAAAAACCCTTTAAATTTTTTTCAACAAATAATTACGAAGATTTTTATCAAATTCAGTCTTATATCTTTTGAACAGTTGTTAAATGTTTAAAATCGGTCTAGAATTTTAAGAAACGGTAGATAAAGTTTGTGCACTTGTCAGGTAATTATAAAGCAATTGCTCAGCCGATTGTCATGAAACACTACAAAAAGAGTCCTCTTTTTATCTAGTTTGATCGAATGGCTTAAATTTAAAAAAAGCGTAGCAGTTGAAAACGTTGACAGAAGTTCATGATAGTTTTGTCGACGTTGATACATATTTGAAGTATTTTGGAGCCCAATCTTTATTTAATTTAATAGTCGAATTAAAAAAAGATCAAATTTCTTCTTATTCTATTAAAAGTTTCGGCACTTAATGTGTGTCATCATTCAATTATCTAAAAAGCATATTACATAAATAACAGTAGTTAAAATATATTCAATTACTTAAATATAAAAATATAAATAGCTGGTATTGGTATTTTGCATTGAGGCAAGTTACATGAACTGCCCGATATGAGTAAATAATCGACTAAATCCATGATAAATAAATTAATTTATGAGTGATCAAAAGTATTCCGAGTTAACTCGGAGTATTTTCTAAAAGCAAATTTTTCAAATCAATTTTTTATAATTGAACCAGTTTCCGTAGGACTTTAATGGTTTAGTATGTTCATTAAGACGAAGTACTCTATTGTTATACCAAGTAAATCGTCTAATTTTAATTTTAGCAAACGTCAAAAAAACTACTCATTTTCTCAAACTTGAATGATTTTTAAAATTAAACTACTTGTAAGGCCGTAATATTTCTGTAAGCTCTATAAGATCATGATATATATCGCCAAAAAAAGTTCCATAAAAATCTGCTTGAATTTTTGTGTCAACAGTTAATTACAAGAAAACGGCTCGGCAGATCGTCGCACAAAACCGACAAACGATAGTCCTCCATTGAGATACATCAAATGGCTTTTAAATTTCTTCAGGCGTTTTTGAGCAAACGTCAATTAAAGGTCTAATTTTGACAAATGCCAAAAAACGATTCTAATTTTTGCAAACTTTGACGAATTTTTAAAGTTAAACGAGTTGTCATAGATCCGTAATATTTTAGTATGATCTTCATAAAAAATTCATAAAAATCGTCGATTTTTTTTTAACACGGCCTATCTGTACCAAAAACTAATCAGCACGATTCCCAACCAATATCTTTCGAACGGTTTTTGAATTTTCGAAATCGATTCAGAATTGCGGGCTAAAACGTGGACATTATTTTTTTCACTTCTCTGCTATTTATAAAGGCTTGGCCGATCGCCGCACAAAACTGATACACGCTAGTCCTCATCGAGGTGCATCGAATGGCTTTTACATTTTTGAAATCGGTCCAGCCTTTACGGCAAACCAAGTCCAGCCTTTTTGAACGTTGATTTATGGCAGAAAATCTGTTCACATACACACACACACATACTTTTTCTAAATTTGGTCTCATTCGATTCAGAATGGCTTGAAACGTCTAGAAAACATAAAATTAGCGAATCGGATCTTTTGATGAAAACAAACTTCTCCTTCGGGAAGTTAAAAAAGAGTTATATACATACCAAAACAGAAAAAACACAAAAAAATATAAAATTTATTAAACACTAAAATTGTGCAAAAGAACATCATCACTAATAATAATTAATAAAAAGAGAAATTAAAGGAGCGCATATTGCCTTCCTATATTGCGTGTTGCTCGCTCGATGTACATAGTAACGCAACTGAATTCAAGGTTCAAGGTATGTGCAGCAGAGTGAGTGGATGCGGGGTATAAGAAACGAAAGAAGAATGAGAAACAGAGAAGGGATATAAAGAGCGAATGATTCTAACACTGTAAAGAATTACTTTTCGTGAAATTTATAATGATTTTGCAACTGTCACGAATGATTCTAACACTGTAAAGAATTACTTTTCGTGAAATTTATAATGATTTTGCAACTGTCACGTAAAAGACGAGAGGAATTACGTTTGCTGATACAAGAAGTATTAAGGCATATAAGTAGACTCAATTATCTTTCTGACGTCACAATTTTTTTCAATATATAAGATGGTAGGATTGGACATGTTGAAAGTATGGTTCAGGTTAAACATATGTTCTGATAGCATAGTTTTGAATTGATTTGGGTTTCTAGAATTATATATATACTAGCTGACCCGGCAAACGTTGTTTTGCTAAATAGGGTATATTCTAAACCATTTCTAGAGAATCAAAAATATTAATACTTTAAGTGCATAAGGATGTGTTGTTTGAATGCTGTATATAATTAGGTATTATAAAAATATAATAAATAAACCCCATTAGTTTGTCTATATTTTGTCGATACAATGAAACTGCAACTTTTATACACTTTCTATAGAAAACATCGTATAATCCAATCCGAGTCTTTTTTGGTCTTTCGGCTTATTAATTACGTTTCAAGATTTTCAGATTCTTTTTGGATTCTGGATTTTGTATATAATTGTAAATAATACTACTGAGCTTATACAAAATTTTCAAATTTTTGCGAGGAGAGATAAAAAATGAATTAAGTATTTCTTCTTTGACCTGCTTTTTGAAAAGTTTCAAGTTTAAAAAGTATATATGTAGAGCAGGGCGAGACACAAAGGTCCAATTTGACTTTGAGCAAATATAAACTATATTGTGAAAACCATAACAATTATATCACAACAAATAAGACATATCAAACGAACAATTATCTGACTACGTTCAGTAAACTGACCTCTACTTCATCATTGTAGAAATGTGCTTTTTTGAACGGGCAGGTGGCAAAAGGTTTAAAGCCTTATTATAATTTTAAAGGTATTTTACAAAATAATTACATTTTTAACTAATACTAAAACTACCAACGGAAGAAAATACTTTTATTATGGATTTTCAAAGATTACCGTTTATCTCCCCCATTTCAAAGATTATTGTTTCAAATCAAGTTTGCAGCTGGCTATACATCTTTTTTCCTCTACTTTCAAATATTGTTGTTAACAATATGCTTAACTTTTGTGGTTTTTGACACTTCGGTGGTGGACCTTTTTAACCCCGGACCTTCATATATTACTATCTATTCCTCGATAAATTCTACGAAATTATAACTGGGAAAATGTTATTCGGCAAAATGTCCCTTTAATCAATACCAAATTTAGGTTTTGAATTTGAATAACATAAATAAAAAATAATATAACCTAGAAAATGTTTTATAAATACCAATGAGTATATAATTATACAAATGTGATCTTTCAGAGCACCATGTTTGAAAAAAATATGCCAAAAAGTGCATTTTCATATTAACAGTTAAAAAAAGTTGATATTTTGAGTATCTACTCTAGTAACACTTGCGACCCGTTTACTAACGTTTTTATATATAAATAAAACTACAAATAAAGCTGCTTACTACAATTTAATCATAATTAAATAATATTCACGTAAAATATCCTATTGAACGTAATTGAACATCATCTGTCAAAAACGTTTGACATTTCACGGAATAGCAACCGTCCATTGTTTTATTTAGATTGCGCTTCTACAAAAATTTTCAAATTAAAAATAAAAAGTTTCTACGCGGATTTGAAATAATTTCTCACCTTTTGGACTTTCTCTGGATTGGCACGAATTTTTCAAGACTAATACTGGCCAAATCGATTCAGCCGTTTTCGAGTTTTATTCGGACATTTGAAAGAGAGCTCCATTTTTATATATAAGTTATGTTGATTAACCCTCTTGTGTATATATTGCAGTCCAACCTGTAAATCGAATCAGTAACCCTATCAGCAGGAGTTTTTGATTTAATAGGCCCATGGCATCGTGCCTTAATGCAAATTGCTGAAA